GTAAACACAAAATTAATTATAAGTTTTTATTTTTTCATTGTTGTTGTTGTTATCCAAGTGCTAAAAGTATTTGACGCTGCGGTTGCTAAGTTTTCTTTGGAAAATAACAAGTTTTTTCCGAGTTTGCTCAAAATTCTGCGAAATTTATGAATTAATATTAATTTTTTCTTTCTCATTTTTTTTTTGATTTTATTTGAACCATTTTTAAATTTTTTAAACGATGCTTATATATTTTTTTTTAATTCTTAAATAAAATTTTAATTTCTAAATATGACTTTTTTATTAAATTTTTTTTGAACTCTTTTAATTTTTTTTTTAATAATTTTTCATTTTGCTTAAAACTCGTTTCATCTTTTTTATTTTTTATCTTTTCTATTTTGGAAAATTTTTTTTTTTTAGTTTTAAGGAAATATTATATTACAATTTTTTTTTGTGATTTTTTTTTCAATTTTTGCAATTGCTTAAATTTTTTTTATTTCTTAATTAATTTATTTCTTAATTTTTCTTATTAAATTTCTAAATATTTTACCTTTTTTTAGTTTTTTTCCTTTCGTATATATGTTTTTTCCTAAATTTTAAATTTTTCCCACTTGTTAAACTTTTTTCTTTTAATTTTTAAATTTTTTTTTTGTCGTATTTTTCCTTTAATTTTCTAAATGTTTTGAACCCATTTTTATTTTTTTTCAAATATTTTATATTAAATTTTTTACATATTTAATATTCAATTTTTTACATATATTTATTTTGAACTGAAGCTCGTTAGCCGGCGTGAGGTCAATAAAAACTCTCTATTAGCTTGTTTATTTACGTCCGATATACTTCGGCTACTCTTCGGCAACTCTTCGGCAACCGTCTTCAGAGTAGATTGGATTACACTTGCTATCAGTGTGGTATGGAGTTCAGTACTTTTTCCAATATTTCATTAAAATTTTTTTTTTTCTTAAATTTGTTAAACCTTTTTTATTTTTATTAAACAATTTTTATTTTTTTTTAATAATTTTCATTTAATCTCTTGAATTTTTTAGTTTCGTAACATTTTCAGAATTTTTTTTTATTTTTTATTATTATATTAATTTTTTTTTTATTTTCCCCATATTTTTAACTTTTTTTTTCTTTTCTAAGCTTTTTATTTTTTTTTTGCATTATGTTTTCATAATTTCCTTTTCAAATTCTTTGAATATTTTTTTTTTTTAATTTTTGTTTAATTTTTTTTTTAAATTTGTACTATTTTTTTATTTTAAATTTTTGTTTAATTTTTATTTTAATATTTTCACTATTTTATTTTTTTTCTAATATTTTGAACTTTTAAATATTATTATTTTATTTTTTTAATATTTTCAATTTTTGAAATTTTTTCTGAAAGTTTTTTTTTTGAATTTTTTCTTAGTCGGACTAATATGCGAACACAGTACATATGTATGTACATATATACATATCTATAAAAAATTTATTTTAGTGCTGAGTGTGCTCACTAATATATCTTAAGTAAGCGTGGGTGTATTTATGCGTGCAGATTTATTTTTATTTAGTTAAGGACATGTGTACCTATATACACACACACACATATGTAGGTTAGGTGAGTCTACATGAAATACATGGAGGTCGCTACTGCCAGATACAGTTGCAATCCAATTTGAATAGATCGTCATAATTGTCACTCAGCAGTTTAAGTGAAGTTCAAGGGCGTCTTGGTATCCAGCTTTGAGACTCTTTCCATTTATCTGTATTACGAAGCTCTTAGATGCTACAGACGTGCTCTTTATAAGAAAGGTCGTAGTAAGGAAAGAGGAGTTTTCTGACGTCTTACTCTAACCGGCCTTGCTATCCTTCCTCTCAATTTGAAGATACCTAGATGAGATTTATTCTTGAATATAGCACGGCTCTTGTGGTCTGGAACCCAGCACAAAAGCAGTTGCTTTATCAAAACCGATTTTAAAGCCTATATTCAAATACTGAGAACTTTCACAGATTTTTTAACCCAACCCTCATTTTTTTCCTCCTTCCCAGTTGTGAGATTTCCTGACTATGTTGTCTCCGCTATCAGCACTCGTCAGATTGGAGGTTGTCGTTACAGTGATGCCATTGAGGTAAGCTATAATTTGAGTGCGTGAGATAAGTGATACACAGAGATTACTCCACACTAGCCTTACTTGAACTCTTCTTCAGGCTAGACGCTGCTCTTGAACTTCAGAATTAAAAATTCATATCAGCTCGACGAAGAAAGTGAATAGAATAAAGACTATTCTTAAAAACATTGGGGGTTTAGAAGAGCCATTCTCTGTTGTTAGATGTACACTAATCCTGATGAGCTTATAGACGCCAAAATCTAGAGTTTTCACTGATTCGGAACCATAACTGGGGTTTCCAGTGGAGAAGGTGCTAAGGAATTATATCTCGTCTTTCTAGAACCGGCTGTATGATTCCTCGAGAGACCAGCCCCTTTGACACTCTAAAAGCACATAATCCTTGATATTCCACTCATTAAATTGGCGCTCGACGACGGCACGGTTAGGTCTTCGCTTAAGGTAACAGTTACAGTGGAGATGTCAACCAACAGAGTATCTTAGAATCCTCCAGAGAGATATGGTTATGCTTCATTACTTGACATTCTTAGTAGAGTAATGACGCCAACCGCCAACCAATTTCCGGCAGGGCAAAGTGAGCAAGCAAATGTGAGCCACACCGGCTCGTTGGATTGAAATACAAAGAGATGGTTCACAACTTGATTTTAGCAAAGGTTTAGGTGGTTTTCGGTCCAAACACCCACTGGAACTCGCATTCAAGCTATCAGACTTTTGCGGGGTATTCTAGGCCGAAGTTTGTGATGGAAGTCGTAAAATATTTTAGAACCGAAAACTCAGGAAGAGACTTCTTATTTTCCGTTATTATATATCTTTTTAAGCTTTTATAGCTGAGGAATTACTTCTCTTAGCCAATCGGGTCCAACTGCAGACGCCAAGTGCAGTCAGATACGCCTCTAGCTAAACTTTCCAAATGGAATGAAGCTCTTCCACTTCCTGGAAACTGCAGTGAATATTGTGTCAAAGCAGATGTGGTCTCATCAGCCCAAACTACATGACCTAGCCAACTTAGGCACTATCTCTTAACACGCTGAACTATGACTCATTCTTCCATACTCTGCTACAATTGCCTTTATCAATGCTCGAAGGTCTATATATCGTTAAAATTTTTCTCTCGTAAACTTCAAGTGACAACTCATCCAATGTTGTCATCGTCCAAGCCTCCGCATCCTACAATATCTTGGGATGAAAACAGTCCGGCAGCTTTGAAAGCTCGAGATTCGATCACGAAAAACTCTAATGGCTGGGCGGTTACAGATCTCGTCTAAGGACGGTTGAACAGACAAATGTACTACCGGGCCATTTCTGTCGATAACAGAAAGCATTGGTATGCTTCTAGGCTCCGTTGGAAACTATAACTTAAGGAAGTCATTTGAAAACGGTTCGCCTCTAAGTGGAAACAAGACTTGCTAAGCTGCGAGTCCAGGTAAATTTGTTCGAAATGGAAAGGGAGAAGGCCTTAAAGCGTATACTTGCTAAAGAAAAGCGGCAAAATTAGGCAGGTGATTGGTTTACTGACGTTGGGCTGCCTAGAAAGACTACACGTCGAGAGGTGAAAGCACCTTTTAGAAGATGCTGTCGGAATTGCATGATCGTCGAGAAGAAGGACCCAATTTTCCCCCGATATCTTCGCGGTAAGCAGAGTTAGTTTTCGGCTTATAGAAGTCGTCTTCATGGAGAGTCTGTGCCATCTATTAGAAGCTAAAGCAAGTGACCTAATAAACTTCAGGAGGGAGTCTAAGTGATTGGAAAATGAGCTTAAGGGGCAGAGCTCTTCAAAACAGACCTCCTTTGATCCGTCAAAGCTCTCAATACAACAGCAGCTTCTACCAAACCCAAGCTAGTCACTTCTAATCTACTTCAACCTTTCTTCAGGCCTCCCTCAAAGCGTTGCAAGCCTTCCCTGTAACAAGTTTCGAACAGCCACTCGGATTTATCGGCGCATCACTGTAATCATATGTAATTTTATGTACAACAGCTGATGACTTGCCGGCAAAAACATATATATGTACGTACATATGTATAAATACTCACATGTATGCTTGTGTGAGCACCGTGAGAATATCAACGATGACGACGTCATAGATTTTGGCGACCAACCGAATAAAAACATACGAAGAAGCGACGCCAACGCGTGATGCTGTGGTTGGACAATATATATGTACAAACATACATACATACATATATGCAAACATATAGATTGTAGTAAATGTGGAAAACCGAGAAGCGCAGAAGAGTCGCTGAGGGTAGCAAAGAATCTGTGGCGGATGTTTGGTCGCTGGTTGCTGCTGGCTGCTGCCTGGCGGCTGACGGCTGGCGCTGCGAACGACGATGACGACTAATTCATCTCAGCAACAAACTGCGAAAGTAATTCGAACGATTCGACAACTAAATTCAGTTGGAAATTAAATTAAGCACGGTGCGGACGGCAAGCGAGCAAAAGCGCGATAATAAAGAGATTTTTTTTTTGAATAGAAAAAGCAGAAAGAAAAAAATAAAAATAATTATGTGACACGCGCTGACGAAACTAACGAGGGAATATTGAAAGGAAAATTACATTAAAAATTATAATTAAACGTTAGGCGCAAGCAAGTGTGTAACGGTGTTTTGGAAAAGCGTAAGAAAATCAAGAAAATTTATTTTAAAATTTTTTAAAAAATTAAAACTTTTCTAAAACTAAAATAAAAACAAATTTAACAACAACAAAAAAAAATTTATTTAAAATAAAACAAATTTATGGAAAACGAAAGAACCGCATAAAAATAATTGAATTACTGAAATTGCTGTGCAATTTGTGTGCCATTTTTTATGGCATGCCTAATGTTTACAAAATTTGTTTTCCTCTCTAATCCGTCTAATTAAAAACCAATAAAAAAATATTAAAAAAATTAATAAAACTTAAAATAAATGTAATTAAAAATGTCCAACACGCCGTCAGTGAGAATACAAATGCCGCCAACGAGGCAATCACCTCGTTTGGTACTACGTCCGCCACGCTTAAACCTTTCCGGTGTGCAGAGTTCCGCTTCCAATCAGTTGCATCCGCCTTTGACCGGCCATCCGCTGGCGACACATCCACAAACTGGCCTACCGCTAACCGCACAAACAAAGGAGAGCGAACAATGGCCATTCTTCTCCGCATCGGATTTCGCACGCGGTTTCTCCGATTTCGTGGACTTTACCAAGGCGGGCATGAGTTTTGGCGAGAAGTTCACCTTCGGTTTATATGAAAAAGTGAGCAAATGGTCGCGTAAATGGTTTACACACATATTCCTATTTATTATTATGGTACTTTATAGTGCTGGTGGTGCGCTGTTGTTTGCCTCCATTGAAGGTGAGTGATGCACGGGGTGGCAGGTAAATGTGTAAGAAGGTTGTGATAAAACAGGAGATTTATGTATTGTGCAAAATATGCTTTGTTTACTTGTGTTCTTGCGCATTTGTTTTAAACGGAATTTTTTTCAAGAAAATTAAAAAAGGAAAAATATTTAAAGTTAAAAAAAAAAATTGTTAAAAAAAATTCTAAAAAAATTTCGAAGTTGAAAATGAAAATTAAATGAAAATATTTTTTTTTAATATTTATTTATTTTTTGATTGAAAAATAGGTTGAGCTTAATTTTTTTTCTAAATAATTTTAGGGAAAATATGAAAACTGAATATGAATTTCAGCATATATTGCCGAAAAAAATTTGGGGAAGAATGTGAAGATGTAATTGAAGCGGCCAAAAACAATTTGTTATCGATAATTTTTATATTAAATATTTTTTTATTTTTTATTGGATTTTTTTTTTCTAAACAAAATTAAAAAGGAAATTTTAAATTTTTTTTAAGATATTTGAAAAAAAAAATTGCAGGGAGTGAAATTAAAAAAATATTTATTTTTCTGAATGACATTTAAAACCTTTTTTTAAATTTTTTTTCACGAAAATATTAGTATTTTTGCACTTTTATCAAACAGAAGATTTTTGAGGGGAAAAGGTTATTAAAAAATTGGACAGTAATGTATTTGGCAGAAATTTTTTTTGCAAAAATCCTTGAAAAAGCTTACCACATGAAAACATAAAAAAATTTGCGGCATGAAAAAAATATATAAATAAACAATTAATTAAAATTGAATAAATGAAATTAATCAAAAGATATTTTTTTTATTTCTTGCGATAATGATTTTTTTTCATAAAACTTTTTAAAGTATATTTTTAGTAATAAATTTTTAGAAAAAAATTCTACAGGTGAACTTTTTGGAAGTTGAATAGTTTTAACTTCTAAATTCAAATAAAATAAATACGAAAACTTTTAATTGAGCTATTTGGCAAGAGAAAACATGATGTCAATTAAAAATCAAATATAATTTTTTCAATTAAAAATCATACAATCTTTACATTTAATTTTATTTGTCAGTATCGCCCAAACTTTGTTCCTAAAAATTTTATTTAAAAAATTTTATATTTTGTATATTTTTTATGTTTTTATTTTTTATACTCATAATTCATTACATCTTTTAATTTTCTTTGTGTTTTTCAAATGTTGAATAATTTTATATATTATATATACTTTTATATTTTACATATTTTTTACGATTTGTTATTTTTTTATATAAATTATTTTATTTACATTCGCATATATTTTTATGTTTTTACTTTTTCATTCTCTTTATTTTCTTTGGTTTTTTTACTTTTTTTCCATTTTTTTATATTTTATTTATATATTTTTAAGTTTTTATATTTTTATATATCCTGGTAATTTTTTTGTTTTATTTTTTTTTTTTTTTTGATACACAAATAGAAATTTTTTATAGATTGTTATAATTTTTTTATCTTTTTAAATTTTTTTGACATGTTTTTAATTTTATAACTTTAATCCTTTCATTTAAAAATCATATTTCGTACTTTCTTTTTAAACATTGTCGTATTTTTTCTTTAATAAAAATTATATTTATTACTTTTTTTTAAATTTTTTTTGTTAAAAATCAAATTTATTACATTAGTGTGTAAAAAAACCTTTGTCATGAAAACATTATTTTTTAGAAAATTTTTTTTGAAAATTTTTTTTTTTGCTTAGAAAAATTATTTAAAATTTACGTAATTTTTAAATATCATTATTGTTTAAAGAAAGAAGAATAATATGGAAAGAATTTATGTTTTTGCCGAGTTTTCAGTAAAGTAATTTTTGTCAAATTTTTTGTGGTTTTTGTGAATAAAATTAAATAGAAAATTTTTATAGCGCAGGAAAAATCGCTTCAAAATCGTATGAGCTTTTCCAACTATCTTTGGGAAAACATTTTTTCTTATTGTTGGTATTTTTATAGTGTGTCAAAATTTTTGTTTATTTAATATTTGTTATATTTTTCAATGTTATATTCTCTGCATACACTCAACTCAAAGTATTTTGAACTATATTATTTTTTTCAACTTTTCTCTCTTTTCTCCGTTTCGCACTGCATTTTTAAAGGTTGTTTGAGGCACAATAATGCAATTGACCATTTAACTCGATATATGAATACATAAAGAATCGGACGCCAGCAAGTCTGAGCACTTTGGGGACGCAAAACCATACACACATATACATATGTGGACAAATGTGCGTGTGTGTGTGTGTGTGTGTGTGCGTGAAGCAGCTTAATGTGCTTACACAAGTCATTTGTCGATTTTTAAAACATCTTCAATTATCAATTAAGATTGAAAGTGGCAAGCTGAGTTACTTGTAATAAAAATTAGTTGCGCTGGAAATGAAAATAAATGGAATAAAAATTAAAAATATAGTTTCCAGTGAAATTTTTGCTTTTTATTAAATTTTACTGTGGAAGAGCTACAAAAAATTGACAAAACAGGCAAGCAGTTTGAAAAAAATGCTCTGAGAATTCATCATAATCACAGTGTGTTGCGGGTTGATAAAATAGTTGCTCATACGACGTGGCATTTTTTATTCGAAATTTTTTAGTATTTATTTTTTTTGTATTATTTTTTTTCTTCTTATTTAATTTTCAACCCACCATTCAATTTTATGGCAGTCTCAATTTTTTTTGTGAGTGAAAGCTTAAGCTGAGCTTTTAGCCAAAATTCTACGAATTTTCTTTTAAATAATAAAAATTGTTCAATTTGAAATGTGTACATATGGTAAAATTTTAGTAGTTAGAAAAATATTTCTTGAAATAAAAAAGTTGATATTTTAACAAAATTCCCTTACTTGTCAAATATAATTTTCATTTTTCATTATATTTAACGGAATCGTCTATAATTTGTTCCTAGAAATTTTAATTAATTTTTTTTATGTTTTTTTTTTTTTTTGATGACATTTATTTTTTTGTATTTCGTTATATCTTTTTATTTTCTTTGCACTTTTTTTAATAGCTGTATAATTTTATTTATATGTTTTTATGTTATCTTTATCTTATGTTATTTTTACTTTTTATTTTTTTTTCTTTTTTTTATAATATTTTGTATATGTTTAATTTTTGATATTTTTAGATTTTGCTTATTTATTTTATCTAATTTAATTTAATTAATTTATCTAATTTAATTTTTTTATTTATTTGTTTTTTTTTTATACACATATATTTATTTTCTATATTTTGTTATAATTTTTTTTATTATTTTTACCTTCCTATATTTTGTGACATGTTTTAATTTTTAATGTTTTTTATGGTGTATTTTTTATTATTCACATTTTTTTAAATTTTTTTTTTCAAAATTTTTAATTTTTTTTCTAGTTGCTTATATTGTTTCATGTTTTATTATTTATTATGATTTTTTATTTATTCTACAGTTTTATAAATTTAATTTAAATTATTTTTATTTATATTTTGTTATAAGTTTTTTTTATTTTTTTTTTCTTCTACAACATTTTCTACATATTTATTTTTTTATACTTTTTATTTTTTTGGTTATTTTTGTTTTTCATAATTATATTATTTTTTAATTTTTGTTCTAACTGCTTATTTTGTTTATAGTGTACTTATTTTTATAATTTTTTATTTATTTTGTATATTAAATTTGCTTTACATTTTTTTATATTTTGTTATAATTTATATTTCACTTTTTTAACTTCCCAAATTTTTTTACATGTTTGTGTGTTTTTTCATTTTTTATTTATATTTTTTTTTTTATTTTATTACATTAATTTAAATTTTTTTATGTTTATTCTAATTGTTTATATTTTTTAACGTTTTTTTATTTTTAAAATATTTTGATTATTTTATAGTTTTATATATTTAATTTACTTCATTTATTAAGTTTTTTATATTTATTAATATTTTTTTTATATAAAAATTTGTTTATGTTTTTTAATATTCTCTTAATTTTTTTTACTTTCATCCAATTTAAGCTTTAAATAATTTTTATTTCTATTGAAGGTAAACATTTTTCTATCGCTGTAATCAAATCAATTTAATATAATTTTAGCGAAAATTCAATTCACACACAATTGAGTTCTCATTTATTTGACACGCTTATTTGTGTGCATTCGCAAAAAATATAAACAAAAGCAAAAATTTCACGAAAAACTCACAGTCAATGAATGCTTGTTTATAGAAACATACACACATGCCGCATAGGCATAAATATCAATATTTGCATATCAGCTGAGCAATATGCTTGTCATATTCAAATTATTGTAATTTTGTTTTTGCCTTTGTTGACGCCACCCTCTTTGTGAGTTAAACGAATTTGCAAGATGAAAAGTTTTGTACCACATATAAGTAAGTACACAAGTATTTCTTGGTAAAAAAATATACAAGAATCACAGAAAATATGCAAGCTTTCCCACACAGGAAAGAAAAAAGCGGAAAAATTAGGTTTCATCTAAATAAATAAATAAGCAAATAATCAAATAAATAAAAACAAATGTCATCAACCGAAGTATTAAAGACCATAAATGACAGTCCAGTTGTGCTCAAATTCTACTAAGCTAAAAGTCCTCAAAGCAATTTCAGGCCATATTTCGAAATTTTCTGCGAAAAAATAGCCAAAAACGCGCGCCTGCTGAGTTCCACACATAACATACACTACAAACATACATATATTTATACATAAATAAACATTATTATTATTATTATTTACATACATCTATGCATAGTTCAATATGAATCACATACGCAATTTAAGACAAAAAATCATCCAAATTGATTCTTCATTGATATTTCGCTTTTTTATGGTTACTCATACGTCATGGCGCACGAGCACGTACAACTAATCATGCTGCTCAACTGATGGTTTTTCTCTGTTTTTGTAAACAATGCCATGTGAGAAACTTGCTTACATGCAGAGTACAGGAAATAAATTTGCGACGTACAACAAAAACAAACACAACAAGAAAGAAACAATAATAGAGAAAAAGAAAAACAAATATTTCATAGTAAATTTGTTAGCTGGAAATCACGTAAATAAAACAAAAATTGGGAAAAATCTCATTCTTGGAGTTTCCGTTTCATTCCATGCATCACATTGTAGGAGAGCTGTCTAAGCGCTAGTAGTGTGCAACAAAATTGTTTATATTTTTACGCAATAAGTTGCCACTTTTTTACGGTATTAACGAGAAGTCTTTCAAAATATATACAAATAAAAAAGAGTAAGCGTTTCTGAGTATTTCTAATTGGTTTCAAATCAAATAAAATATTTATGAAATATAAACAATTTAATTCAGACAATCTATCAGTATTCTTTTGTATAATTTATATACAGTAACTCAAGTCAGCAGTAAAAGTTTACTTTTTCTTTTAATATTTCTTGATGTATATACGTACATATATATAGTAATAATATATTTGATTGCAATATCAAAACGACAGACCAATCTATATGAGTAAAAAGATTTTTTTTTTCGTTTTTTTTTTTTTTTGAAAATTCCGTCTCAGTTCTGCACAAGCAACGTCCATATTAAAGCCACCCTTAACTGACTTTAAGCCACGCTAAAGTAATAATTATCGAGTATACCTCTCAAGCTCAGGCAAAAACCGTCTTTTAGACCAAAAGTATAAGATTTTTCTTCAGATTCTTGCTTGCTCTCAAGAATATTGCCACTGCGCATTGTTCCAGTATATTAGTGGCTCTAACCAGGCTAAAAAAAAGGAAGCGACTACCTCGAAAATTTGCATTGGGATACTGAATTTCAGTTGACTTATTAACGGTTTTTTTTTCATTTTCTCCTTATTTGTCCTTAGTCCAATTAGTCCAATTAGTCCAATTAGTGCACCATTCGTTTCTTCGTCTTGCCATTGGACAATGTTTGATGGCACCAGCTACTTCTCCAACTAATTCTTCCAAAGGGAATGTTGGTCCTACTTTTTCTCTTCCTCTACTCTCACCGATGCATACTGCATCGAAAATTTTCAACTCCGAGTGTTTTCGTTCATCGGTACCACATTGACCTAGCCGGAGTACCCTTGTCTCAAAATATGCTGATCTTTGTTGTAAAATTTGAACGTCGAGGGAAGATTTTAAGGTTGATACTGCAGCTGGTGACTGTGAACTGTGATGTGGGAGATTTTTCGTCTGTATTCGCATTCATTACCTCATTTGCTTCGCCTCCTTATATCGTGTGCAGAAAGAAGAGCTAACATCGCGCGGTTATTGAGACCCCAAAGATGGCAAGTAGTCGACAATCGCCAGCAATTTGCAGCTCTTATTATTTGCTCTAGTTTCAAATTGAAGACTTCACAAGTTACAGAGTCACACTGTCTAAAATTTTATCTAGTGCCGTAAGACTGAGGGAGGTCCTTCCATATTCTGACAGAAGAAGACAGCTTTGTTAGAAACGTAGTATGGTTGTGCACCGCTCCCTTTTTCATGGCTCCTTTCCAACATTTGGACACGGACAAGTTCTAAAGTCGCACAGTTTTTTTATATAAATTGCAAGATAAGGCATTTTTTGAGGAGACTAGTACCACAATAACTGGTTCTTGGTCCTCGTTTTTTTTGTGTTGTTTGGATAGATTTTGGATAAGGTTTTAAACTTCAGGTTTGTATTCGACCCTCCATATACTGCAAAGAAGCTGTTGGATATACTTTGTTAATACTTCGCCAGCATACCTGACTAGCTGACTGTTTGGCGGGTTTCTCAAAGAAATTTAAATCAATAAATAATTTTTCTACTAACAGAAAAAAAACTTAATTCTCACTAAGCGTAGATATCAAACAAAGTCTTCTTCTTCTTCTTCAAAGTATACACTTTGTTTATTAAAATATTATTTCCAGTGGCAGTCAGTGCAAGCGTGTATGTTTGCGAAATTTTTGGAATACAGCGCTCATGCAGTGTTTCTTATACATATAATATATATATATTATATAAAGACATATGTACTCGTAATCATATGCAATATTAGCCAGTTATGGTAAACAATTTTACAGTTTGATTTTTTCCATTGCAAATTTAAATATATTAGTTCCACTTAACTACATATTTGTATATATACATATATAAGCTCCTAACCAAAAACAAAAAAAAAACATCCTTAAATACGTATTCTCATACTTTCCAACAATACACTGTACATATATATATATATATATGTATTATATATGTATGCATTTATATGCTATGTATGAGTTTTCCATCTTCCCTGGCTTATTTGTGAATCATAAATTAATTTTTGTTTCTCAGCACGTAAGCTACATGCCAAAACATATACACATATGTATGTACACGTATGTATGTGCGTTATACTATTGTAAAATATTCAAACAATTTCAGTTTCATACATAAAATTCTTTGTTTTTGTAGTTGTGTGCTTATATCCGTAGCCTGTAGTTCTTTACAAGGTCGTCAGGAAGTAAAAGAGATTGCATACGTTTGCTTGTATATACGTGTATATATATATATATAACAGTACAAATATGTACGAAAACATATAAAAAATCAACTGTTTTTAATTTTAGTAGTAATGCAGATTTAAAAACGTACTTAAAACTGGGAATATTTTTTAGAAAAAAAATAAAAAATTTAGCAGAAAATAAACTCGAGTCACTTTTTGCTTAAAGAAGCTTCAATTAAAGCTTTTCTTTCGCAGTTAACAGTAACGGCAATTCTACTCTTAATGTCTAGGCGTTCATTTATTCACTTTGCATATCTTTCCCTCACCTCTTGCAGGTCACAACGCGGATATGATCCACCGGGACTTGACTTCTCAGCGGCGAGATTTCCTGCGTGCAATTGGCAAATTGGCAAATGATCCAGAAATTAAAGTAAGTAATAATATTAAATAATTTAAAATAAATAATAAATTAAAATAAAAAAATAAATAATTAAATAAATAAATAAAAAATAGTAATATTAAAAAATAAACAACTTAAAATAAAATAAATTTAATAAATAAATAAAAATTAATAATATTAAAAAAATTAAATTAAATTGATTAAATGCAATTAAACTAAATAATGAAACAAAAAATTTTAGTTTGCTTAAATTGAATTATATTAAACTAAGCTAATTTTTTTAAATAAATTTAAACTAAATTAAGTTTAATTAAATGAAGTAATAGAATAAAAACACAATTAAATTTAAAAAATTTAACATAATTAATTAAATTAAACTTAAGAAAAATATTATAAAATAAAGTAAGATAAAATAAAATTAAATTAAAGTGACTAAAAATGAATATAATAAAATAAATAAATAAGACCAAAAATCAAATAAATTAAATAATATAAAATAAATAATAAAATTGAAAAAAAAAACAAAATAAAAAAAAATAAAATAAATAAATTAATCAAATAAAATTCAAAAAAAAAAATCAAATTGAGTTAAATTAAATTAAATATAATAGAATAAAATAAAACAGCATAAGCAAATAATTTAAATTAATAATAAAATAATAATAATAAAAACAACAACAAAAATTAAATTAAACTAAATACCATTCAACTTAATAATATGAAATGAAATAAAAAAAATTAGTTAGCTTAAATTGAGTTATACTGGAATAAATTGAATTTTATTAAATTAATTCAAAATAAACTAAATTCAATTAAATTAAAAAATAAAATAAAAAAATTCTATTTAAAAGAATTAAATTAAATTAAAGTAAAGTAATATTAAATAAAGTAAAATAAAACTGAAATAAATTAAAATGAATTGAACAAAAAAAAAAGATAAATAAATTAAAAAATCAAATAAAGTTAAAAAAAAAACAATATCAAATTGAGTTGAATTAAATTAAATATAATAGCATAAAATAAAAATGAAAAATAAATAAAATAAATTAAAAACAATCAAATTAAATGATAAGTCACAAAAAGAATTAATTTAAATTAAATAAGAGTAAATTGAATTCGTTTATATTAAAAAAAAATTAAATTAAGTTAATTCCAATTGAACTAAATAATAACATAAAAATATTAAATTAAATTAAACTAATTTAAAATAATTTAAATTAAACTAAAAATAATAAAACAAAATAGAAAAATTTAAAAAATTATTGAATTAAAACCAAACGAATTAAATAATATGAAATAAAATTAAGTAAAGTAAAACAAAATTAAATAAAATAGAATTAAATTTATTTAATACAAATTAATTAAATTAAGTAATTATAAATTAAATTAAATTTAATAAAATAAAAATAAGCAAAATCAAGTTAAATTAAATACAATTATATAATATAATGTAAACTAATAATATAAAATAAAATAAAACATAATTAAATTGAACGAAATAAAGTAAAAAAATAATTTAAAGGGATAATAAACAGTATGTTATGAATTAAAAAAATGAATTAAATAAATAAAAAATAAATAAATTAAAATAAAAGTTATAATATAAATATAAGCAAAATCAAGTTAAATTAAATACAATTATATAATATAATGTAAACTAATATAAAATAAAATAAAACTACATTAAATTGAACGAAATAAAGCAAGTAAAAAAATAATTTAATAGGATAAAAAAGTATAAAAAAATGAATAAAATAAATATATGTATTAAAATAAATTAAAATAAATGTCATAAAATAAAACAAATTGAAACAAGACAAATTTTGTAAATAAAATATTTTTTTTTTAATAAATTTGCATTTAATATTTCTTTAAATTTCTAGTCTGAACAACTCAAATTGGAGGGAAAATTAGTGAATGTCATGCGAAACTACAAAGATGCCATCTCCTCATTTCTGAATAATGAAAAAACTTTTGAGGAACTGGAAAAGGAAAAAAATCCTTGGACATTTTTGAATTCGATGTTCTTTTGTGGCACAATATACACAACGATAGGTGAGCATATGAGCATCATATTTATTTAATATACTTTTAATAACTTAAGAATACACGCATTTTTTATATAAAACTAATATTAGAAAATTTTAAATTATTTATCACTATTATTTGCAACTCGTATGTGTAAAATATTAAAAAGAAAATTATATAATAATTTTGAAAACTTTTTAGGTCTTATTAATGATTTAATAAAGGTGAGGTATGCTTGGCCATCTCGCTTTTTCATAGTTTTATATAAATTTGAATTGAAAAAAGAAATATATATACATATATATATTTTCGCTTGCATACCCACGCATAGCCACACACTTCAGACGTGGAATTTTTTGCAATAAAATCGAAGAAAACACTATAATTTTTGAGTGGAAAATATTTTAGTTGCCTTTTGTTGACGATTTTGACGCACACGCAATTTTTTTTACACATAATTTAAAAACTAAAAAAAGAAAAATACCGAAAGTTTTTTTTTTTTTTAAAAAAAAAATAATAACACACAAACAAATATATGTAGTTAGGTATAAATATAAACATACGTTTTTGTGAATTTTTATTACTTTTTAGGCGACCTATTTTTAGTTTGTCGACACTTTACGCTTTGCAGACATACATACATACAAACATATGTATATATATATATATATATATATATATGTATGTATGTGCATAATAATTATAGTTATGAGTTCGACAGCATCTTCCATGGCACGCCAACCACATTTAGATTGTGGGTGCTTATATACGTACATATATATTAATTGTAATTGTAAATTTGTGCTTCTCAAAGTCAATTTAAATAATTTACTTTTATAGCTTTTGTACCAAACAATGGACATAGATTTTAATTAAAAGAAAAATCTGATGATTTTTATGGTTTTTCATGGTTTTGTCTCTCTAATTTCTTATACCTTTTTAAATACGCAAACCATTTGTGTGGACACTTCAGACCTTAAAGTACCATATTTGCCTCTAATCGTCTCCCGATGGACTCAAATAAGTATATATGAAGCTTAATGCGGAAGACTTAACTCTTCGAAGTTTGTTGTTTTAGTTTTCCACAGCGTGCTGCTGCTACGGTTCCCTTCAGGGGTTGAAAATCCTCGAAAAATCTTCAATGGAGCACGATGAAGTTGGGCAGTTCGATGCCAGGTCTGGTAGTCCAGTTTCGGTGCCATCAGCCTGCTGCAGGTTTTTCCAACAGAAATTGCTGCTATTTGTAAATCTTCAAGTTTGGTCCGGGTCCTACTTATATATCAGTTCAACGAATATTGGATAGACATACGGACGTCACGAGACCTATGGTTAATGTTCCTAGGTGAGAACGAGATTCCGCTTGGATAGTTTTATTGCATGTCCTTTTAATACCATATTTACCAGCTGCTGAGCGACTGAACGGTAGTTTACTCGAGGACATATTGTTCGTGCCCATAACGAGTCGGCAAAGAAGGCACTCTTTGACACCCTGAAAACACACCTGGTTTATGGAAGAGATAACTTGAGCTTCATTTTGGCAAAGGCAGGCAAGTGTGGGAGAGAGTGCCGAGATTAATCTCACCCGACAGCTAGGATTTTCAACCCACCTAGCAGCTTCCATGTATTTCAGACATTGATCAATCAGAGTCCCAATCCTTAAATCTTTCGTGATTCAGCCCTGGCTAAGAGGATTGTGTCGTGGTGATATTGTCTGAAGCTTCCAGGCGCCGTTGCCAGTATAATAACCTTCGGATAGAATAAAGGTTATGAAGGGCTTATTTACGTACCTATGGAAATACGCGGCGATCTTTATATTGAGAAATGAAATCGAGGTGCTGCAAAATTCTCACTTTTCGAGGTGTCAACACGGCTCAGGCTCTCTAAGCTTTAACGCAAATTTTTATAACGACGACTTCCCCAGCAATGTCGGTAGGATCTACGTTTCTGGGAAAGAAAAAAAGAGTTAACGAGTTTTACACAAAGAGAGAGAGTTCGAAACATACATAAAGAGAGAGTTCGAAAGAAACATAAAGAGAGGGAGAGAGAGAGAACGCGATTTTGACTGTTTTGAATGCAAAATACTTAGCTTTGAGCATAATAAAAATACTGAGTTGACTTCTCTGAGTTCGAATAGCACAGTTCGCGATTCTCAACGGGCTTATAAAATTTCCTCGCAAAAAAGCACGGAAGATTTAATAAATTCAAAATAAATGTAATAATAACAAAAAATTAATCCTCTTCTTCATAAGTGCACATTTTGAATTTAACCAAGAAAAAAAATTATTTACAAAAATTATTGTCAACTTTTCTTTAGAAAATTACATTCGATATTGAAATTTGCATTTTCTCACTCAATAGCCGATATACGCTGGTTTTATGTCTGTTTGGCCATCAAAGAAAACTCATTAAGTAATTTTAAATGCATTTAAGTATTATCCACAGCTGAGTGAAAGCCATAAGATTGGAACATTTCGTAGAATTTTTTTTCATTTTTTTTTTTAGTTTTTATTTATTTATTTTGAAAAACAATGACACAGAAAAAATACTTACGTATGAAGAGATCAGCGTTTATTTCACTTATACATTATATAATAATGTAAATGTTAATAATATTGTTTATTTTGGCGCTAGCCGCTTGATGGAGGTGTCAAACGAGCAATCACTTCAAGGGGGTCCACAAAAGTGAACATGAATTTGTCATTGTCAGGCTTTACTCGGAAAATGAGTGTTCCCTTTAATTTTATCTTTGTCGGCGTGTTAATAAATGAATTTCTTAATAAATATTTATATACATATGCATACATATATTCACACGCACTTCTAAATGGGCACCTTTGTATATTTGTGTTGCTATTTTGAGCACGAAAATCAGCATTTTTCAATTTCATAACAAGCAATGAAAAGTGTATTATTGACGTTTTAGGTTGACCTACAAAATTATTTTTGTATATTTTATTTTTTTTATTTATTTTATTGTTTTTTTTTTAGAACTAATTGCTTTGCAATTTAAAATGTATATTTTGTTTTATATTTTTAGAGGATTTGTAAAGAGCCTTTTTTGCAATTAGTTTGAAAGAAATAATTACAATTATATATTTGTCATTTCAAGAAAACGTTTGATTATCACAGGTGTTGCAAAAAACTATACTAATTTAAAATAAAACTAATAAATAATAACCTTCTAATGCCATATTTGTGAATTTAATTACATTTTTGTAGCATACTTTTGAGCGCCTTAAACTATACAAAGTGAGTTGCAAATGTTTTTGAATGAATTAAATATAAATGAAATATTTGTTTTTCCACATATAAGAACAACCCTAATTTATATACAGCACTCACATATATATTCTACAGCATTCTACATTCTTTACTATAAATATTAACCATTTCTGTCTCGCTCTTTTCCAAATTAATATTGTGGGCGTAGAGGTCATTTTCACATTGTCACCTCATTTTCGTCTTGCAAAAGTCTCAAATAATTACATTTTTGTACGCTAAATTTATTTGTGAGTATTTACATATGTATTAAACTAGGTAAATGACCACGTGTTTACTTTTACAACAGGAATTATGTATGTATGTACATATATTTACTTTACACAGTTTTTGACTAGACATTTGATGGCAAAATAATTGCGAAAATTTCATTAATTTTTTTTTTTTTGATTTCTTTTGGACTTTCCAATTTGAATTGTCATGTCTGCGAAATAAAAAATAATAATAATAATTTGAAAATGTTTAAAAGAATTTTAGAAATTTGGAAAAATGCCACTGTTTATATATATATTATTTTTAAATGCATTTATGCCATTTCCATATGGCAAGTTTCACATATTTTAGCTTAAATAAAAATAATAATAATATTTTTAAATAATTTAAAAAATGCTGCATTTGATTTAAGGTCATAATTGTCATCCATTTTCATCGAAAGAGCATTATTAAAAATTAAAAATATTTTTCAAAGCACTCGCGCAAAAACACCCTAAATGTAGGCAACATCATAGCTTTTAAAATGTTCAAGTAAAACGTTGCCTACAATTATCCACGATTATTTTTGTTTAGCCAAGTCGCACACCTTTGTTTGATGTCGATTATATGCAAATGACCTGGAATGTTAAAATTTTCTTAAAAAATGGTAAAATCATCAAGCCCGTATAGATTAAATTGTGAAGCCTTATTAAGTCAGCTTGCTACATTTCTTTATTTATTTATTTATTTTTTTTTTTTGCTTTTATTTTTTCCGTTTGTATCAAAAATGCAACTCACTACTTTCATTTTAATGATTTGAAGATATTACAAAGATAAATACAAAGATATTACAATATATGTGCCTATACATATATCTAAGTATGTATAAATTTAATTCAAAAATTAACAATAACTTCATTTTATTTAATAGAAATATATTTCTATATATATATATACATATATATATACAAAAGAATTTTTCGAAAACGTAGAAGAATCATCGGGAATTCACGGAACAAATATTTCAAAGCAGATAATGTTAAACCGTAATATTTATAATTTTTTTTTCGTAAAATATTTCGTTGAAATTTATTCTTTGTCAGAAAACTCCCGGAATGATCAGACTTAACATGCAAAAATTAAAAAAAAAAAAAAAATGTCAGCACTTAATATGAAAAATTCTTCTAACTAATAAATTATTAGATTTAAAAGAAGTGGGAAGTGCTAATGCTGATCAAAAGGCGATGAAAATAAAATAACAAATTGTCTACAATATGAAAAATATTAGCAAATAGAAAACAAACCAAAAGAGTAAAAAAGAATTAAAAAATAAAATTAAAAATAAAACCAAAAAAAAATTTTAAAATAAAAAAAAATTAAAAATATAAAAGGAAAATATTTATAAAACGAAAAAAGTTTGGAAATAATATATAATAATATAACAGAAAAAATAAATAATAACAACACTCAATCTAACATATCATAACGTTAAGGAAAACGAAAATAAATAAAAAAAAAATTAAGGAGGGAAAAAGTGGCAAATTAAAATACAATAAAAGTGAAGACTTTCTGCTAGGAAATCGTTCAGTACTCTGAGAAGCTTGAAAGGTTACCTTTGATCTGGTTCAATGAAAAAGATTTCAACGCTCACTTCAGCAGCCTTTCTTCATTCATTTATGTAGCTAATATACGTTCCCATGATATCCACCTCAATCCGTCCATTCACAGTGCAGCGAGCCGCTGTAATCACTCCAAATTTTGAGATTTCTAGATTTTACGAGTTTTTATTGGCACCAGAGCGTCCTTGAGTAATATCGGCTACTACGCCGTAAAACAGCAATGCATGAGGCCAAAGGCGAGCCGGGACACAAAAGTATTCTCATCAAAAAAAAAAAAAAAAAAAAAAAAAAAAACTGTAACGAACAAGAAAAATGTATATTTTTTTAATTAGATCGAGCACTTACCGAATTCTTATCACTTCAATTAAAATGAAATATAATAGGGTGGTCTCTGGTTCAATCTTAATAAAAAAAAACAACTAAATACCGATAAATACGATTTTTCCAAATGGGTCGGTCTCTCCTCTATATTCCGGAGAGGAGAATTCTAGTTTATCTAAGCAAAAGCTCACCCTTATGAGTCGAAGTCCAGGTAAATCGACCCCTTAACAAGACTTTTTCGAATAAATATATATGTCGGCCCCTGGTTGAGTTCTCGAAAATTTTTTTTCGCATATTTCTTTCCTGAAATCATGATAAATTTTCAATTAGGCAATTTTCATAGATCTCTGAAAATCTTTAAAAACATATTTTTTTACATATATGCATACGGACTTTATATAATAAAAAGATAAATAAATAATAAAAAATAAAATAAAAAATATTTTGTGTAATAAAATTATATTAAACAAAAGTAAATTGAGTTAAAAAAATAAAAAAAAAATTGTAAGAAATAAATATAATGAAATATCAAAAAAAATTTAATATAATAAATAATTAATAAAAATATTAATAAAAAAAAATATTAATATAAATACTTTTATAAAGTTAAAAAATATTAAATGAAATATAATAATATTAATTAAAATTGTTATTACTAAAATAAAGTAAAATCATATTATATTAAAAAAATAATTAACTAATAAAATTAAATATTAGAAATGTCATATAAAATAAATAAAAATGAAACAAAATTAAATAAAATTAATTTAAATTAAACTTAATGAAATAAAAAACTAAATAAGGCGGTATAAATTAGTAAAATTAAACTAAAATTAAAAAAAAATTTTAAAATAAAATAAATAAATTTAATATACATGAAATATTGATACAAAAAATTATATTTTCTACTTCCAATTTTTTTATTATTTTTTTTTTTTATAATTTCTTTGCTCGCTCTCTCCCATGCAGTTCATTAATTATTCTTTTTCCACAATTTATACGCTTTACTACGGTTATAATTCTCTTTCCGCCCCTCCCAATTAAGCATGTTTTCTTATTTTATGTAGTAATAACAAATTTTAGAAATTTTTATTAGCCACTTTCGCAGATCGATTCAACCGCAAGCGAGGCAAATAGCAACAATTAAGAATTTGCCATAAAGTAATTATTCTTAAACATTAAATGCAAAATTTTATTACATTTTTTGTTAGCAAAGATTTGCAATGGCAATAAAAGCGCATTTCCCTCACCCCCGAAAAAAAAGAAAATAAAATGAAAAAAGGAAAACGAAAAAATTACAATTCAAAAGGGATAAATTAAAGAAAATAACACAAAAAGCACAAAAATGGATATATGCACATTTTCGGCATTTTTTGTAGTAAATAATATATTTTTTATGTTTTTATACAAGCTATAAATATGTACAAACATATATATATTTGTATGTAAAAAGAAATCTGTAAATGAGAATACATATGTCATAGATTAACGCTAACAAAATATTGCTGTTATACAAACCCGCATATGTACATTCGTGCATTCATACAAACATACATATGTATATTGTAGGTTTACACCCACACGCGATGACGTTTTTACAACTGTCAAATTGACTAAGAGTCTCTGCTCTATATTTTGCGCTTTTCTTTGGGCATCTGCTTAATTGTGTCGAGAACTATACATATTTATGTACATATGTACGTACATATTTATATAAAAATACTAGATTTGAGCAGAAATTTATGAGGTGTTAATATTTATTTTTTTGATAAATTTAAATTGCCTTTGGCGACCTTAGCCGAACTAGTGATTGGAATAATTATTTCCTACACTAACTACATACATACACACATTCTTTATGACTCATGCTCTACGTGGTGATACGTGTACATCATTACATTTATGTGGGAAGAAAATGCTATGAAGGTCATCCGCTGTGCAAAAAGAAGCTGGTTATGGATTAAAATTTTCTGAGATAAACGAAGTTTTAACTTTGGAGAGGCTCAAGAACTCTTCTCGAGCCTGCACTCAAAAATTGCAGTCACTTAATAGATGCCTCGGAGCGCCGTCCTTTAGTCTGGCAGAGTTGCTAGAGTACCAAAAACACACATTGGCTCTCTCCAACATTCAAGCTGAGATGTACGTTGTCTACAAGGTTGTTTCTTGCTTGTTTAGTAGAAAGCAGTAGAAAGAACTGTCTAAATTGAGACCCAGATTACCGCTAGTAATCCTGCTAACCCTATAACTATCAGCACAATGAGGCTTCACAAGAATATCTAATGATTTCCCCTCACCCGGTTTTATGAGCACTTCCAAAAACCGAAAAAATTATTTTTAGGCTACTACGGTGGGATTTGCAATCCATTCCGAGACTCTATCTGCTTTTATAATTCCATTAAAGAGAGAACGAAGCCTTGTTTTGACTGATTCTGCAATTCTCTTCCTCTCACTTGACGGTAATAGAATCCAATGTTGACATTTTCTACAGTACCACGTCACTAAAGACACGGTTTTAAGTTGAAAGAGGAACATGCTTTTACAATGGTTGAAGTTCTTTGTGGTTGTTGCTTTAGGGATTAACTAGTCCCTGTTAAGAATGCTCTCTCTCTCTCACATATCAAGGTATCAAGGTGATCC